GGAGGCAACAGTGTCATTATTCAGATCAATTCATTTCAAAGTTCATTCAAATCAGTTCAATAACTGTGTCAATGTTGCAAAATTCAACAATTATGAAATGAATTCAAATCAGCATTAAAGCATCTCTACAAAAGACAACAGTATCATTTTCAGATCAATTCAGTTCAATGTTGATTCAATCCAGTTCAATAATAGTGTCGATGTTGCATGTTTATCAATTAAGAAATTAATTCTATTCAGTCATTATTCAACTTAGTTCTGTTCAAAGTGGATTCAATCCAACTGAATAATTGTTAAATGTTGCAAAATTCAACAATTTGATTCAGTCATCATTCAACTCAATTCAGTTTAATAACCGTGTTAATGTAAAAAAAAATTATCAATTATGAAACAAATTTGCTCTACAGAAGACAAAATTATCATTTTTCAGCTCAATTTGGTTCACTGTTTATTCAATTAAGTTCAATAACAGTGTTGATGTTGCAAAGTTGATCAATTGTGACATGAAATCGATTCAGTCATTATTCAACTCAATTCAGTTCAAAGTTGATTCAATCCAGTTCAATTAAATGTTGCAAACTTCAACAATTACGAAATGAATTCAATTCTGCTTTAAAGCAGCTCTATAGAAGACAATGATGTCATTATTTAGCTCAATTCAGTTTTGTTCTCATCAGTGCAGTCAAATTGATAATATTGCTGAATATTAAGTGTCTCCAGCTAAAATCCACCGGGTGACAAAAACTGGCCTAAATGAACAAAACACACTTCAGGCTGCACAGTTCAAATTTTGCATCCAGCTCCTTCTGTGTGAAGTGGTCGAGTCATGATGGAAAAGGAGATCTGTTGACAGACAGGTCGGTCACTTCAGCGGCGGCATGCTTGTGAAGTAGCCGCACTTGTGCCGGGCTTCACTAATGGACTGCTAATAGAACCCAAACCTGCACTTTGATGCTTCCCCTGTAGTTTACAGGGTGACAGTTGTGTGATTAATTGCACTCACTCCACTCCCCGGCCACTTTTTCTCTTTTTTTGCAACGAATAGAGGCTGTCATTGCCATGACTTTGCTCGCTCACCTACCTGCGCAGCTGGATACAGCTCGATTCGCCATAGACAATGCCGAGTACATACTGTAATACATCTTTTCCTCAACCGGCACGCTACATGACATCAGGAGAAAAGAGCTGCAACCTCAGCACGCCTTTCACAGCAATTATCACTGCAATCCTCAGCACGGGGGAAGGCCAACAAACAGCGTGTAGTGCTGACGCCCACAAGGCGACCAAGAAGGAGTTTCTGATGACACACCGTTTGGCTCGACCTTTACCTTCACCAGCACGTGACCGCATTAAGCCTCATTTTCTCTTTCAAACTTAAAAAACGGGCTACATCATGAGGGAATTATGATACACTGTGGCGCTAGGTCATAGTATAGTAGCCGTTCGGTGCACAATAAAGCCTTTGTGTTTCCAAACATACTTGGAGAACGACCATGATGGCTGTAACCTTAGTAGAGCCCTTGAGACCCGACCGTTAGGCAATGAGGGGAGCGGTTAGAGTAATGATGATCGCAATAACATTCTCATTTTTACACCTACCGGAGCTGCACGTGTGTCTCTTTTTGAGGTTGCTAAATATTTTCTTAAAATAAAAGCACCCCCGTCCATAAACAAAGCTCAGAGGATGCATAACATGCAGAGTGAGAGGACAGATGTGGAAAAAGTGAACTCACGCTTTGACGCACTCAGCAGGCAGTGGGTTTGCTTGGTTTTTTAAAACGGTAATTACACATAAGACAGCAAACAAGGCACCTTTGTTTTACAAAAAAAAAAAAAAAGAGCACTGCATATGGAACCGACGGCATACAGAAAGCTGAAAAAGCGTGCAACCTACATGAAAGCAAATGCGTACAAGAATGGATTATGCACATTTGGGATCTTCACCTTTCATCAGCAAAGGATCTGCATATTCAAACAGACAGCCGGTCTACTTCAGCCCCCAAACCCACATGGCCCTCTGCCGTTAAAGCGGATGACAAGATCGTCTCCTGTCGACGCATTGTCAAGGGTCGCACAGTGCTGTTTTTTATCCCCCTCACTCTCTCTTGACTTTCCCGGTCGCCTCTTATTCATATTCAGGCGACGCGAGACACTTGTGGTGGAGATGTCAGTGATTATACTGTACTTGATAAAGGCACTCCTTTCCTCTCTATTGCTCTCTCCTCCATTTCCAGGGCCAAGAGAACATTGGGACGAGTGGGAATTCACACACTTAATTAAAACAAGTGTATCGACAGTGAAAAATAGGGGGATCAGGAGAAGAATGGAGTGTGATGGAATTTTTTCCATGCAGAATAGCCGTAACTGCTTAAATAACCAGGCAGTTCTTCAAGCTCAAAAAGATCCCCATGTGAACCGGAAACATGTAGCTCATTAGTATCCAAAAACCTACCTGCCATTAATTAGTCGCAAACAATGTTCTCCCTAAATATCGACTTCTTAATGGACACAAAGAGACTTGGCTCCATTACAGTCAATGGCATTGGCCTCTGAGGGCTTTAGGAATCAGCCTTATGTCATCCTGCGATGCCCTTCAGACACTGGAGCGGGATAGTTTTTCCTCAACCTTTCCTTGTTTCTCATTAACTATGCACAATTGTCGAGGGAGGTTTTGCTAGACTGGATTGGGTTTCTAAAAATCCAATTCCTGGCAATTCTGGAGCCTGACGCACGCAACACCTACAAACATCACTTAAAAGTAGCTTTTAAATAAAGTAACATAGCATATAATCTAGAATAGTACAAACATCACTTTATATTTAACATTTGGCAAAAGCAACTCACATTGCATACTTTTTTTTTTCAGTGCAAGCATTCCCTGGGAATCGAACCCACAACCTTGTCATTGCTCTACTGTTTGAGCTACACAAATCACTTAAGAGAGTATTTTTAAATAATAAAGTAATATAGTACGTAATCTAGAATGGTACAAACATGACTTGACATGTTTTTATCCACGCAACTTATACACTGCATTCAAACTTTGCTTTTTCTTCAGTGCATGCATTCCCTGGGAATCGAACCCATGACCTTGCCATTGCTCTACTGTTTTAGCTACAGGAATCACTTTTAAAAATTAGCTTTTTAATAGTAGTACATAATCTAGAATAGTACAAATACATTTATGCATTTGGCAGATGCTCCTATCTAAAGTGACTTACACTGCATTTAAGCTTTAGCATTCCCCTGGGAATCGAACCCATGACCTTATCACTGCTCTTCTGTTTGAGCTACATGAATCACTTAGAGTATTTTTAAATAATAAAGTAATATAGTATGTAATCTAGAATAGTACAAACATCACTTGGCATTTGTTTTTATCGATGCATCTCATACATTGCATTCAAGCTTTGCTTTTTCTTCAATGCACGCACGTGTATTCCCTGGGACTCGAACCCATGCCCTTGCCGTTGCTCTACTGTTTAAGCTGCAAGAATCTTTTTTTAAAAGTAGCTTTTAAATAATACAGTACATAATCTTGTAACAAGTTTTGTCACACCTTTTGCCAGTGATCTCCACAAAACACGAGATCAGCAGAATCCAGTACACTACAGCTGCATGTAAACCACTGAGGGATGGTTGAAGTCAATGTCAAACGTGGCTCGGAGGAGCTTCACAAACCTGTCTTGTGATGGGGAGGAGGTCTTGGTGTCATCTCTCTGTGTCAAGAACATGGCTGCCGGTTTACTTACACAACAATTATTCAGCAAAATCCTTTTAATGGAGTCCCACACTCGCTTCAGTAAACGGACACGTTCAAGAAAGCAAATGGCATCAGCTCTGAGATATGCCACAAACACAAACTTGAAAGCATCTTCAGCGTAGAGAAAGCACTTTTAACTCTCTCAACGTTGTGCCCAGAGGAAAACTCATTTAATTAGTTCATTATAACGCAATCAAAGCATGCAGCAGAAGTACTCAATAACAAAATAATCTAAATATTTACATTACTATTCATAATTGATACAAACAGAAACGGGATTATCAGACTTTTAATAAATATAAAATGCCAGCAGCACATCCACTTCTCACAGAAAGAGGCCATGAGTGATATTTTATGGTTTCAAGTAACACATTTGGTCCTGTTTCGCAAAATGTTCACAAAGGAATGTTGGCACTTTGTAATTAGGATAATACAATTATCTATAATTTATATAAGTTGATGGTTTAAGTATGCATTATTGTCTGTACATATATATAACAACAAAATAAACAATAAAAAGCTAAGATAACAGATCAAATAAAAAGCTAAGATTTACAGCAAAAGAAATGGGTTTGAAAAACAACTCCGATCAAATACTCTTTGAAAACTGTGCTGTAACAAGATTTCAGCATTCATAACCAGACTAAAGATCTTAAGAAGACTTCAGAAAGGGTACAGATCCTTCTGGAACAAACAAGCACGTTACTAAAGCTCATTTCTAGCGTCCAGACACACAGCAGCACAAGACAAAGTTCTCTCAAGTAATGAGCTCATGCCTAAAACTAAGCCCAAATGACAATAATTCACACATAAACAATGCAAAGTGATTTAATCAACTGTGCTGTACAACAACACTGGCTCAAATGTAACAAACACGTTCTTATTCTCAACGACAAACAATAACAACAACAACAGCCATCGGTATGCTAGTTAAACACAAACAAATCCGAGTTAATTAGACCTCACAAACAACACAGAATTTATAAACATACTAAAAACAAAAACCACAAACATAAAAATTAAACCCATCAAATTTGACTAGTAATCCAAGCAAATTAAGGGTTTAATCAATTCACATTTAGACTTATTAGCAATATTTAACGTTACTGAAATATGCCGTATAGATATCTGCATAAAGCTGGATCGGCTTGACAACTTCTCCTAATTTAACGAAACTTTATTTCGCTCATTCAGCTTCACCTGCCGTACTTTATTGTATATTAAAAGGTTTTCTTACCTTGAGCCGCACCGGTGTTGACAAGCGATAAAATAGTAAAAACTAGCACAGTTAAGTGTCCCGATCCGCCTCGTCCTCTTCTCGCAGGCTTTTTACTTCTTCCCATCATACAAACAGCCGAAACCAGGCAGAAATCCGCCGATCGGGTGAAATAACAATCAGAGGGACCTCTGGAGATGTTTGTTTGTAATAAAGCCCGTGGCGGAGAGATTAGCATTCGCGGAATGAAGTCCGTTGGTTTTTAACGTTACCTCAGTGCGCTCTTCTGACTCACAGCGCGCGTCGAACGCAAATGTTCAGGATTAAATATCCTCTCCGGAGAGGTTTTTCTCTCAAGGCTTCGCGAAACGCCGTGGTTCAGGTGTAAAGCAGGTAAATCAGCGCTCCTGAGGTGAGTTCATGTTCGGCGTCTGTCAGAGAAGTTGCTCCCGCGCGAGCTCCGCGCCTTCTGAGGAGAGGTGGAGAGGCGCGCGAACCCCGCGCGAGCCGCCGGAGCTCCAGCCAATCCGGATGCGCTCCGACTTCAGTGTGAAGAAAACCAATCGGATGTCCGCCTGTAACCGGGTGTGTTATCAAAATGAGCTTTAACGGGATGCTGAGGAGCTGGTGGTGTTTTCACTCTTTCTTTTATGATCCGTTCCCGCCCATAATCTCGGCACATAGTCTGAGACACTGTAGTAAATTCTGTAGGAATGACTTTCACATGTCAATTTAGATATTTTGTTATTCTGTTTCTTTTTAGGATCATTTTCTGCTCATCGTTCTACCCTAATTTCAACAAATATTCCTAATGAAATACTGTAGATTGAGGGGGAAATATATATATATATATATATAAAGGCTAATACATTAAAGGGGTCATATGATGCGATTTAAATGTTTCCTTTCTCTTTGGAGTGTTACAAGCTCTTGGTGCATAAAGAAGATTTGTAAAGTTGCGAACACTAAAGTCTCAAAACCAAAGAGATATTCTTTATCAAATTTAAGAGTCAGCTACGCCTACCTAAAACGGCTCGTTCTAACACGCCCCCACATGTCTACGTCACTATGTGGGAAGATTTGCATAACGCCACCCAAATGTTCACGCAAAGAAAGAAGGCGTAACTTTTATTCTCGCTGTAGTATTGTTGTGAAAGCGAAACTACTTGGTCTTCCAAAAGAGGACGGTATGCTCTTCGTCATGCCTGGAGCTGATCCGTGCTGGTCGCTGAGGAAATACATCAACTTTGTGCTGTGGATCACCAGATCGGCTTTCACCGTGGACGAAGCGGGAAAGGCACACAATAACTTACCAGCTTTTAAAAGCTTTTAAGCATCAAAGGTCACGTGTCCAGTTAAACTCTGAGTGCAAAGTTCTGAGTGCAAATTCAAATGCCAAACAGAAATCAAATCAGACAGACTACACACACAAAAAAACTATTATTCCACACATAGTATGTTGTGCAGTGAAAGGCTTTTATTTTTTACTCTGTGCACATAGTGTTAACATTAACGTAAGAATAACAGAAATCAAATCTAAAAAATGCAAAAACAAAACAACAACAAGAAACAAACAAACAAAACTAAACCTACAAAACAACCCAGATGATATAAAATATAAGCTCGCCTGCAATGAGGAAAAACATATGCAGAACACAATGTGTGTGAATTATTAGATAAAGAGAAAATCATGCACAAATAATAAATCTCAATGTTTGATTTTAAGGACATTTGTGCTTCATATAATACTAATTTGGCACAGTGTTGAGTTGGCATTGATGTAAACGGCGTTATTTATTGATGGGATACTATTATTTAATTATAATATTATGAATGTTTTTTATTTTTTTATTTTCCCTTTACATTTTTAGTAATTTAGTCATTGTTTTTAGTAGTGTTTGTTTTGTATTTAAGTTTTTTATGGTTTTAGTTTTTTTAGTTTTAGTATGTTTGCTGTGTTTTTGTCATTGTTATCAGTTTCTTTTATATATATCTATATAGTTTTTATTAATTTATTAATACATTTTATTTATTTATTATTTATGTTTTGATATTTTAGTACATCAATTTAGTACAAATAATCATTTATTTTAGGTAATGTCTATTTTATTTCAAGTAACTTTTTTAAATAGTTTTTTTAATAGCTTTAGTTAACTATAATAACCCTGGATGTAAAATCTACACGGGAAAAAAACAAAAAACGAATTCAATGTTGTAAATAAAACAAGGATTATTGGAGTGCATGTTACAAGAAAGTACTTTTTTTTTGTTACAATTTTGTAGTATTTTGGTTTGTCTACCTCAAAATGTCATGTTTAAATCACTGTGTTATTTTCTTTGTAACTCTTTGTGAAATTTACAAGCAATTTCTGAGTGAGAATTGTTTCTACACCAATTTGTTTTCCAGTGTAAACGGGGCCCGAGGGTGAGCACATTTTCTGCCAATTCTCATTTTTTAGTGAAGTAAATTTCTATGCATAATTAAAAAAAATAGTGAGGAATATTCCTTCATATTAACATGGTACACTGTTCTCTATTTCACAGGCGTTTCTTTGAGTGTAGTGTACGGTATGTGTGTGAGAGCTCAGGTGTGTCTCCTGTCAGATGTCACAAACCTGGTGGCGAGTGATTCAGCAGCGGATCAAAGCCGCAGCACAGCCGTAAAAACGCCAGTAAAAAGGTCAGTCCTGACGGAGCTCAGTGCCGGCCAGACCCCACGTACCAGCAGAAGGCTGTTTTCACTTAGGATTATTTTCATGGAGAAACAAACTGCTGTTGTGGCCCAAACGCACCTCCACATACAGTATTAACTCACGACTAACAATCCAAACACATCTCAGTGTGGCATTACTCTGATTGTTCAACAACAAAGTGAAAACTTCTCTGAACTAACTCGGCATATTATAAAAATAATCAGTACTATAGCAACCATTATATATGCTATAAGTTACCATTGTGCTATATAAATAAACTTTTTGCCTTGTCTAAAACCTAAACTGCTAAAATAACACTGAATCAAAATTGGCTTATGTACTGTATTAATACATGGTTCTAGACAATCAGTGCACATTACAAATAAAAAATTTGTTTTAGAGTCTCTATTCATATAGAGATGCTTTACACCATCCAATCAGTTCCTGATGGGTAAAATCAAGTGTATTTTAATTAGGGAAAGCAAAACAGGTTGCATTTTATTTGATCTTTAAAATGTTCTTTTTGGCAACTGTGTTTTAATGAGTCGAGTTCACTAAAATGATGCAGTGCCATATGGTATCCTCCGCCGGATTGTTTGGAAAAGGCCTAATTTTCTCTCCTTTGGGTAAAACCTTTGAATACTGTTATTTTCTATTGAAATTGGACACTTTTTCAGGTTATAATCAATACTTATTCAACACTTTTTAAACAGGTCAAATCGCCCCTGCAAATCATCATGGCTTGAATTTTATGATTATTGAAATCGACACTCACAGAACCCTTACCAAAAAGTAGTATACTTCAAGTATATTTTAAAGTATACTTTATGTAGAAAGTATACAAATATCAGTGTACTAGTAGTATACTTGTAAGTGTACTATTTCAATACTTCTTGGGACTAAATTGGCCCACTTTCTAGTATATAAAAGTATACTTTTAAGTATAACAGTAGTAAACTTTGAGTACACAACTAGTTTACATCAAAATGTTTAGTTTGTACTGCAACTATACTAAACGTGAACTTATAGGTATACTGATAGTTTACTAATTAAATACTTGTAGTAGCATTTTTAGTACACTTTGAAATATAGTACTAGTTTAGTAGTTTTATACTGCAAGTATACTCGTAAGTTTTCTTTAAGTGAACTTTACATCATACTTTAAGTATACTACTATGTCCCTGTTTAGGTATTAATTTGTATATATTTTGTTACATGAATATCTGAACGTACAAAACATCAAAAGAACAGGGTATCTGCTTGTAAACAAAAACATTTTATTCTAGCTTCATGCATTCTTTTTTAAATACTTGAATGTGGATAAGTTTCATAAATAAAAAATAAAGAAATACACAACATTTTGAACAAAAAGCTGAAAAAAGACTATGAATTGGATTCAGAAAGATAATCAAAACGTAGATAACGTCGATCAACACCCCAGATCTTGACAGTCATTAGTACCGCTTCATTTTATTCCATAACGTTGCACAGTTTTGATGCTGTTTTATGTCTGATGATCGTGTTAGAATACATGTGGAAGCATCGGTTGTTTCGGTTTCTTCTTCACTTGTGTTTTTTGGGAATTCTGTACAGAAGATGTGTACTAGCGCCTCCTACAGTATAACAATGAAAACACGGATTCTAGGAGCACAATTATAGCTCAAATATATTTAGACTTTTTCTAAGTATAAGTCAAGTATACTTAAATGTCATTTTAAGTATATTTCTGAGAAGTACATAAAGCCCATTTCTGAGAAGTACATAAAAAGTAGACTAAAAGTATACTTTCCAATTTTTAGTTTGAAATAAGTATACTAATAGCACACTTGAATAAACTTCTTTTTCGTAAGGGAACTGGAGCAGCTCCTTTAAATGATCTCATCAATCATCTGTTTCCAGGTCACCTGTGGAGCACCAGACACCTGTGGGAGGAGCAGAGAGGACGACAGCATCCAAAACAACCTACAGCCAAACAAGGACACGCTGCTGGAAGGGTTACGTGCTTCTGTGACATCAGTACGTCTGTTATGAATCAAACCATAAAATATCATTTATGCTTAAGCATTGAGGTCTTATAAAAAATGATCGTAATTTCAATGGTAAAAGATTAAAAATGCTAAGGTGAAAACCTGTTAACAGTAAGTTCTTTTACTGTTTTTAAAAAGAAGTTCAGTTGCTTGCTACATTTTTTTTAAGTAATCAAATTGGCTGTACAAGTCATTTCAATGTTGTGAATTAATTTGATTAAAGTAATGAAAAAACATTTTACCATGACTTACTAATCACATGATTTTTTTTTTTTATAGTCTTATACAAAGAACTGTAATAGATCTATCAGGACATTTTGTGTAATTTTACAGTAAAATGCTGTCAGTTTGTGGAGGCAACAAAAGGACAAACCATCTTATAATGTACAGTAAAAATAATTTTAATGTTTTTTTCCTGATCATTTATACACATTAGTGTTTTATGCTTTCTTATGTTGTTAAATGAATTTTTATTGCACTATTTTAGTGTCACCATGATGGTGTTTTGTATTTGTGTGCACCTTCTATCTAGTATTTACTTCAGAATGTGGAAGCACCGCTTGAGATGAGCTCTGATTCACCATAAGACTTTCTTTTGATCTGTTTTTAACAGTAAAGTTCTGTCAGTCGCATTTGGAGGTTTTTACCTTAGATTCCACTGACTTTTAAATTGTTTTTTAAAACACACAAAAAAATTTAAATAACATAAACTGAAATTAAATAAATATAAAAAGCTTACACTTCAGTTT